ATGATTGTAGCCGGCTCATTGCTAAAAATGCAAGCATCCTGTAATGATAACGATTTCAAAGATGTGGCTAAAAGACATTTAAATCTTTGCACAGTCACAGCTGTTCACTGAGCCTTTGGTATAAAAATTTTCTCAAAACATCTCTTTTGGAAACATAATTTTAAAAAAACAAAATAACAATCATGAGTGAGTGAGAGATTACTGAAGGATACGTTCTTGCTCCTGGTGATTTGTCAGGACATGTTCCACCTGAGCCATAATGGAGCTCTGCATGGTTTCAATCTGTCCCCGCAGTTCAGTTAACTCCCTCTGCTGGCTACGCAACAGCATCATCAACTCGTCCTGTACTTCTGCATTAAACTTTTAAAGATGAGGAGAAAAGCTGAATTAAAAGAATCCAAGAATGAGAAACCAAAGAGCTGCTGAAACAAACAACACGTTATCAAATAATAATAATTTACAAGACATTATCAGTAACAATCAACTCTCTAAAATTAAAAATAAAATAAAATAATGCACTTACTGCACATAAAGGCATGACACATCTAACAAACATAAAAAAGGGAATTTTTCTTTTAGGAATTTACCTGACCAGAATCCATTTGCCTGGACTGTGATGACTCACTGTAAAGACGAGAAACAATGTTTAACTAAGTACCCAATACTACTTATAGCACACTTAATAAAAATCAATTTGTTTCATTTACCTAAACTAATTATTTTCTGACATTTATTAGTTTTAAGAACTTTATTTCAAAATAATATTTGGCTTAAATTAAATGCAATAATGCTAAAGAAGACAAATAACTCAATCCTGCTACTTGATGTAGACATGAAAAAAAAGCATAAGTCTACCTGTAATTCAGTGTGAGTAATCACTTTCTTTTGCTAGTCAACACCCTATAAAATGCTCATACACTGGCCAAGTCTAGACCAGTGTAGACGCAAGCCCTGCAGGAAAAAAAAAGGGTACACTTTGCAGCTACACGAACGGGCGTGACGTGTAGCTGCCAAAAGTTTAATCTGTTGTCCCCCATACCACATTTTGACTGGCTCTGGTTTACTAATTCAGCATTTGAGTCCCTCACTAAAAAGTGTGGCCTAAAGAAATGTGCTGATCTATGAAAACATCCCTACCAAAACCCCAAAATGAATGTAAGTCATAACTCAATTAACAGTAACAGCTTTAATAGTTTCTGGGATAAAAAAGGGAATACACAGACTACAAGATCATGTCTACAAATTTTAGTAGTCCACTGAATCTTACTATGTTTACTTAAGTGAGGGAGTTAGATAAACTGTATTCAAAAATTTTCTGGCTCTCCTGTGACATATGTGACGCAGATGTAAATATGTGTGCGTGCGAAATTTAGCTTTAAACCCTGTTGATCTGTGATCTGTGATCTGAATCTGTACGGATTTTAAGATATATGGAGATTATTTTTAGATTAATGCTTCCAAACTGATGATTCTGTTAAAGCCATTAGCTGACTACAGATGTGTGAAAGGTGTTCATAGTGAGACTAAACCCATTAGTCCTCTGATTTGATGCTGGGACGACTGAGCCATTTCCTATTTCCATATATACCTCATGAAGGTCGAACAAAGTGAAGTGTTTTAATTTCACCAAACTATGATCAAAAAGGAAGATAGTTTGCAGAGGCGCCATCTAATTACTTACTAATCTAAGGGTTCTCTTTGCTTTCGTCCTTTTTATTAGTCTCTGAAAACAGCAACATCTTGATGCTCAAAGTATAAACAAACCTGTCGTCTTTCTTGATCTTTCTCTTTGGCTTTGGCGATCCTCGTGGTGAGGTTTTCCAATCATTCACCGGTAGTCTATGTGAAGATCGAGAACCACAGTTTCCAGAGGATGACGCCAGACTGGCCACCTCATCATCAGGGTCACTGAGTCACACACAACACAGAAATGTAGACAGTAAGTCAGCTGCTGTAGCCTCTAAAGCAGAGTTTAGACCACATGTTGTGGAATCAGCTGGAAAAAAGTCAATAAAATCAAACCATTGCTGCGCCTTGAATGTGCAGCGCTTTATCATGAGTTTGTTGCTCATGATAAAGTCCATTCTATTGCCTGTTTCATTTGCATAAACAAATAGATGGTGGGTTAATGTACGTTACCTCTGCTCGGCTCCAGCGTCCTGACTGTCATTCTGTGGCAGGTGATATGAGCGTCGATGGTAAGGTGAGCTCAAGTGTCTGTCCTGTGACTCCTCTCTTGAACTGCAGCAGGCATATGAGACAAACACACCAATACTTAAATTAAAAAATAAATAAATAAATAAAAATCTTCACAATGCCGTTTTCATTGCAACATAGCATGACAACCTGATGTGTACGTGAAACTACCTGAACAAAAACCAGCTGAATGTTTTATACACAGAGGCTTGTGAAATGTTTCACACAGGATGGGGGTTCAAGTATTTATATGTTAGATTACACACCAGTCAACAAGTCCGTTGTCCCTGAGACTGTTCCTGGTTTCTCTGGTGATATCTGGGGCAGCTGGCCAAGGTGTGTGGCTAACGTTGCCATCTGAGGACCCTCCTCCTATCACAGGATTTTCCTGTGATAGCGCATTCTCAAGCAGAGATGGTGTGTGACTCAGTCTGGACTCAGACTCTGCTGCCCCACCCACAGGCCCTTCTGCACCTCCAAGTTCAAGGGCCAACAAGCTGTAACAAAATATATATTGGCTTATGTAATTTAGAGAGCATTTCTGGACTGGGAAAATAAAATAAAGTAAATATAAAGACAACACAAATGTACATACATTAAAACAAGAAAGTGAAATGAAACTGCAGAATCAGAATCAACAGTAATTATGGTTATGTAAGGTTATGGTTATGGAATAAGCAAGCTGTCAAACTGGTGACATGTGCAATGTTTCCACATTACCATATCGCTTGCACAGTGATTTTAACATTATTACCATTGAAACAAAAAGAAAGAGCTGAGGTTGTGTTGCACAAATGATAACACTTAAGTGGATTCAAAATAGTTTTAAATGTTTCCACAACTTTTTGTTGTCTCTGTAGCATTACAACATCCACACAGCTCTGACTCCACTGACATAAAACCAAAGCTAATCTAACATTACGCACAGTAGCCAATCAATGACCTAACTAAAACATTTCTTATAGTATAATAAATGCCATCAAAAAATAAAAGCAGAGTTGCATAGATGCAGGCAGTGCAGAAACATCCCCCTGCAGCCAACGACAGAACATTTAGCATCTGCTGCAGAGAGCGGCCCTAGTGAGGAAATAGAACTGGTCGGGGGCTGCATATATCTGAATTTGATGTCACAAATGGCTGCAAACATGAGTGGCTCATTGAGAGAAATTGTAGGATTCATGTGGAAAAGAAAATATACAAGGAGATTGTCTTTTCTCACACCCTGTGCTCAAAAACGGTGAGGAAGATGGTTTTACATAATGTGCTACTACCCTAATCAAATGGAGTAGTAAAGATAAAAGTGTCAAACTTTAGTTTAAGTTGATCATAAAATCTCAACACTATAATTTCTGCATGCTTTTTAATACTCCTAATCGCTTTTTAATTTACATACCCGCTGTTGTTGGCTGAGCGTGGTGAGGTTAACAAGTGCAGTGCAGAGGCGGCAGAGGCCATGCTGTCTGTCTGGAGGGCAGAAAGAGGTAAGGGATCCAAGCTGGACACTAGTCCACGCTGAAGCTGCAGGGTCTGAGAGGCGATCTCTGGCATGTCCTGGGACATGGCTGTGGATGCTGAGGAGATGACGTCAGGGGAGCGGGCTCTAGTTGGAGATGCCAAAGGTGGCAGGAGTGGAGGATCTAGAACCTGAGAGCTGTCGAGTACCAGAGGACTACTAGGGGTTGCCAAGGCCTGGATATGAAGAATAAGAGTTTATTAAAATAAGTCATGTCATGAAGAGAGGGGCAAGGTTGGTTGAAGAAGGAGAGTGGTTTAGATCATACCTGCAGACTCTCGAGTCCGGGCAGTAGAACAGTGGAAGCAGCTCTTGGGCTGCTGGTGGAGGCAGAGAGTGCCAGCCCAGTACTGCTGTTGTCAGCCCTGTTAGGACTCTGACTTGCATCCTCCATAGCTCTGAAAAACAAGCATACATATTCCCAAATGTAACAAAAACCAAAACAGTGGGGAATTATTTGTATTCAGTTGTTAGAGATAAATGGAGTCTTTAAAGTAAACAAAAGATAACAGAGGCTTATTTTTATAATTAACAACTGGAAAAACAACCCAAAATCAATTTGTCTTCATCCCTGGCTTATTTGAAATAAGTACAAATCTAAAAACTCCACATCCTGGTAAACATAATCTGTAAGAACAGCATTCACCAACCCAAACTGCATGTTATAAGGACCCAGATGATAAAATATCATTTGTGATATCATCTTCACACTTTCATATACTAACATTTTCAGTTTTCAAATGAATATATAGAGAATTCTTAATTCCATACCTGTTCGTTGAGTCAGAGTTGCTGCTTATAGCTGTCACAATGGTCAGACTGCTGGCACTGCTCCCCGGAGATGCTGGTACCTGAAAGGATGACAAAAAGATGATCTTCAGGCAGCAAATAAGATAGAAGGTTTGGATAATCACTGTTCAGTGTTTATAAATTGGTTAAACTGAAGCACATCGCAGATAAGTGGGGTGTCTCACATCTCAACCCTGTTCGCAATGATTATATTTATCCAATATTTTATTGACTTTATTCAACTGGGACTGTGGAAACGCTGGGAGATGGTGGAGGGGTGTCCCTTGACTGGGTAACTGGTCCATCAAGGGGCTAACACAGTCTAACATTCAAACCTACAGCTAATTTGGACTCACCAGTTAACCCAACATGCATATCTTGAGACTATGGAAGAAAACCGGAGCATCCATAAAAGCAAAGAGCTAATAAGGAACAATTTGTCCTTTTGTATGTTATCAGCTTTTCTTTCAGTGCATAACTAGTCCTATTTATTTTGCACTAGTGTGTATTAACAGGGTGTTGAGTGCTGTTGCCAGCTATAAACCAATATGTGGGCGAAGGTGCTATTCACCGTGTGACATATCAAAAGAAGACACATGGTGTTCACTTGCTGAAGCTGTAATGGTTTTGGTCGTTCTGTAAACTTCAGAAATTTTTTAGACTCATCAATTTTCTTCTCATCAATCTACACAGAATATTCATAAAGAATGAGCAAATACAAGCTTTTTTAATACAATTTAACATAACTAATCTATATTACAAAACCTGCGATTAATATCCAATGCCCAAAGATGTTTATCAATTGTCTTTGAGATGGTTCCTCAAACTGACTGGAACCCACTGGTACCTAACTACACTCAACACCTATGAGTTTAAAACTTATAGCTCACAGAACCAAGCTGTGTGGTTGATAACAAAAGTGTGTCAGGGCAAAGACCCAAGAAGATTTGCTGTTGTCATTGCTGCCAAAGGTGCTTTAATCAATTATGAAGTGAAAGGTTTTAATACATTTCACTTCATAAAAACGAATTGAAAGGTATTAATTTGCAACACTACTTTTGCAAATGTAATACTTAAATAAACATTTTTTGTATCTTGTGGAGTATTAGGTCTAGTTAGATGAGGTAAAAAGAATGGAAAAGGTTTGAAGACTACAGCGTAAGGATAAGTTCATACTGAAGTGCTCGGTGTCATGAAGGCATCAGGAGTCATCAGCTTGGGCATCACTCCGCTGCCGGTGCCCGAATTTGACAGGAAGTCTGAGGGAGCAGGAAGTGATGGGATCTTCCTTAGATCAGTCTGTGAGCCACTTCCTGAATCCTTGTCAGAGCTTTGATCAGTGAGATGATCTGAAAACCCAGCTGGAGACATAAAAAGTAAAATTACTTCCATTTTGTGGCAGAATGTGATCTAAAATAAATAATTTTTAAATGATGTATAAGCAGATATAAATAAATTTGATTTCAAAACTAAAGTAAATTATTTATGAGAGAAGACTAGAGGTGGACCAAATGTGGAGTAATCATAAAAGTTGGCTTATTTTCATTGAATTCGTCCTTCTCAGCATAAATACTAAATCCTGTCAGTTAAAGAAACTGCTATCTTACCCAGACCATCCTGAGAATCTGAATGAGGAAGGAAGGCCGCAGAGTTGGAACCTGCATTGGGCTGAAACCAAATCTGAACATCCTGCAAACTCCTGCAAACATATAAATGTAGAGACATTAAACAAAATTACTAATAATTACTGATCTGCCATGTGTAAAACAAGCAGCAAGCTGCCTCTGCATTGACGACTATAGTATCTTTACTCCAAATAGAAAATAGCACACGTGTCAGTCTTTTGTCTGGGTTGACTGCTTTCAGAGGGTGGATGGGTACAGAGAGACGTGGTGTACAGCAGTGGTCCCCAACCCCCAGGCCTCGGACCGGTACCGGTACCGGTCCGTGAGTCATTTGGTACCGGGCCGCGAGAGTTGAGGCTCAGGTGTGAAATATATCGTTTTCAGGGTTTTTAGCGTTATTTTGTTATCGTTTTTATCATTTACTCGCTTTTCACGTGTGTTATGAATAAATTTTCTTTTTTTCGGTACCGGTACTAGTTTTATTTTGTTGTATTTATCCACAACACCTTAAAGGCCGGTCCATGAAAATATTGTTGGGCATAAACCGGTCCGTGGCGCAAAAAAGGTTGGGGACCGCTGGTGTACAGCACTGTTTTAACAAAGAACAATTACATGCTATATGTCCTGTCCTTCTACAGAAGCTTTCCTGTACAGTAGATTTTTCCACAGCACCCACCCAGTGTTGGAAAAAAATGTCAGCTCCAACACAAGAGACTGACACTAGTCACCAAGTACACAATAAGTGTGCACATCTGCAAGCAATTCTGTGGAAGTATACGGAGCTTGCTGACTGGATGAAAGGCTCCTTTACAGAAGAAATCCAATAAACTTGGCTGACAGCAGAATTATGAATATGTTAAACTGAGCATGGTTGCCCATTCTATTCTATTTTCAAGAAAAAATATTACAACACAAAACAATATTAGTGAGTCCTATAAGAAAGTTAATCACTGGTGTGTACTAGGAAAAAAAAGCACATTTTGGTCATTCAGTGTGCATCATCACTGACCGCCTGTAAACCAAGATGTCCTTTGGAAACTGTTAAGTTAAAGCGACACAATCTTAACACTTTTCACAAAAAGAAGGAAGAAAAGAAGAAAACTCACTTGGTGTGGACACAGTAGAGTTTAATCTGGATTCCAGATTTGGACTCTGTAGGTCCTTGAGTGCCCTCTGGAAAAGATACACATGAAAAACATGTGGCATTAATGAGGAACAAACATATTTAATTTCAACTTTGAAGATGGCTTAAAGCAAAAAAACAATTCCAATGTGTGTGTGCACATGTCTATGCACATGCATGTGTCTATGTACCTGTTGTCATGCTTTCACTCTCCTCCTCTGCAGGAAGGACCTCAGTGTGCCGCAATCGACACTGGGTAACATCACGTACCCCAAAGCTGAGCACAGGGTGGGTCAGCAGGAACTCTGACACGGCTGTGAAATTTGCCTTTCCTTTCTCCAAGTCCTGTCGCAGCTCCATCACATATAAAACCTGCAACATCAGCCAAGTATGAAACTAAGCTTAGGAGGAAGTGGTAACATAGGTAGCCAAGAAAGTGGCATTGTTCAGGGACTTTCACAAACAAAGCAGGTTTCCTTGTACACTTGATGCGTGGTCTTTGATCAGTGTGTCTAGAAAGGTAGTTAATTCAGGATTTGTATCTTTTGTATTGATGAAGCGTGCCAATTAATTTACACAAAGTAATAGAAAAGTGAGCACTTTAAAAAGGGGGTTGCACAATATGATTTCTCACAATGATTACTTGCTTAAAACCTATTTTAAAACATTTGTGCTAACCTTCCTTTGCACATCAGTGAGGATCAGATACTCAGCAGAGAGGTCCAGGCTGGCCTTGAGGCTTGGCAGAGTCGATGAGTTTAATGGATCAGGGGAGAACCTTTAGGAGAAAAGTACTGTGAAATTAGTATCTTTGTATGTTGTCCTTAAACAAATGGTTTCAGCTAAAATATCAACAACAGTGATCACCAAATGTCTTCAGTACGAGAATAATTTTACTTTGGGACTAGTCTGAAAACCCCTTTTGTGGACTTTCCTGGCAGACATTTTTTTGCTTTTACAGAGCATTACTGTTAGACCAGGTTTGTACACCAAGGCCAACCAGCCAGTTACTGGTTTGGAATAATGTTTCCCTTAAGACGTGAGCTTTTTTTTGACCATGTCCTGATTTCTTTAAGGTGCACTGGAGATGTTCTGAGGTACTGAGGGTGCAAGCAGGAAAAAATAAAAGAACTCACAGCTGTTCATGTTACATTTACTAACTATTCTTATACATGCCTTCTGCCATCCCATGCTACATTTCTAATAATATAAAATGACTAAAAAATAATTAGTGCTTTCAGCGTTAATTTTGTTATAATGACGTTAACGCCATAACTGCATTAACGCGGCAAATCTCCGTTAGTGAGTTAATGCGGCTCCCCCCTGTGCAAGGGGCTGCACGGCACTAACGCGTTAACGAGCTAACATTAACATCATTTTAACAAAATTAACGCTGGCAACACTAAAAAAAATTTTCAAATAATAGACACCTGATGGTTTGTAAACAGGTCCAGGAAACAGTGCACCACATCTTCAACTCCTGGTTTTGGTCAGCTCCAGTTATCAGAAATCGCCAGAAAGGAACCCTGTAATGAAAAGTAAAAGGGGACAGAATTGGCAATGAGAAGAAGAAAGAGATAGAGATTCACTTGAATAAAAACCCACTAGGACAGCCTGTGATAAATTTGCACTTTGAGTTTGTGTGTGCAGACTCACTCGGGATCCTGCCTCTTGTGGTTGTCACAGAAAAGAAGACAGGAGAGAGGACGTCCTCCATGAGGCCGCAATTCATGAAGACATCTATTTTTAAGGAAAAATGCAAAAGTGAATAAAAGGCAGAAGTGGGAAAACCACATAGAAGAAAGGAAAAAACAAAGTTGTAAACCATTTAAGAATTAATTAATTGGTTTGCTTACCTGGGTTTGTCTTGCCCGCCTTCTATGTATATCTGCCAGAACTTGATGTATCCATCATGGCTGGCTGTGGCTAACACGGTTCCATCTGGAGAGAGTGCGCCTTCGCTGACTCTCTGGACAAACCAAAATTAAACAATGTTCATAGTCAATAATGCAACAATTCTCAGGAAATGTGAGACCTTAAGTACATTAGTTCCAGACATTTTGTTGTACAAACCAAGACAATGAAATGTGTCATGTTTATTTCAAAGTTTTTCATATGAAAATGAAGTCCCACCTGGGTATGCCCCTTGACTGCGATGAGGCCCTCCTTTACTTCTGTGGCATCAACAGGCCAGCTGCTGTTGTTGGCTCTCAAGGCCTCCAGATCCCATACCTCAGCCTAGAAAAGGGGAAACAGTAAAATTAGAGATGAAACATTTCTGCTTTTACTGCAAGTGTTTTGTGTTTTAGCTGAGACACAGGATTGTATTGCTCTGTCAGCTAAAAATCAGTGAATGAACAACAACATCATTATTCCTCTGTGGGCAACATCACACTACTTTTTAAATGTATGTAAATCTATATATATTTATCAAATTTATAACAATGTCCTAGTGTAGACAACTAAGTACTCAAAGTTTTATTCTATTTCAAATTTCATTGGCTTTTCATCCAGCTCAGACAAACATATCTGTGTCAAACATTTATACCCTGTCTTCATGTAGAAGAGCCAAAGTTTGACTGGCATCATCCTGGTTCTCCTCATTGTCATCCTGGATGAATGGACACCAGATGAGGCGACGATGGGAATTCAGTGGAGTGTTTTCTGGCCGTCGGATATGAACTACTATCTGATCTCTATATAAAACATGGGTTAAGGAAAATGGGAGACAAGAATAGTTTTGGAATTCCTTCTGTAACTGTGACAAAAGCAGAGGTGAAGATCAGTGTAATCTTTAACTTGCTAGTTTAGAAGGAAACAGAGGTAACTAAGTAGTGAAGATACAGCCTTCATTGGCAGTATCCACACACACGCGTTCAGTTTCTCCTACATTCAGGATACAGTATCTTGTTGGCAGTGTAGGTGAGCTGCCAGACCATCAGGTTGCCCGCTTCATCTACACAACCTAACAGAGATGAATCAAGGTGGGCGAAAGCCAGATCTGTGACGGCCCCGGTGAATCCCTTCAGTAAGGAACGCTCACCAAACTCCAAACTGAGGACACGAACCATAGCATGGTTGTTGGCTCCTGAAGGGAAAAAATGCCCAAAGATAAACCAAGGAGCCTTTGTTATTACAGCATTGAATACACAGCAAATCCATTGAACAATGTTGTAAACAACCATAGTATAAATAAAAGTTTAATAAGTAGTATGAGCAACATTTTCAGCCCTTGAACTACAATGCATATTTATTCTGGTGGAACATATGAAACTGAACATCTCAACTGAGCCTTGAGATCAGACCGTTCATAGTTTCCCATTATGCACTTACAGAACGTAACTGCCTTTATGTAGCAACATGAATTATCAAAGAGCTGATTAGCTAAAACAAAATTTCTTTTTAAAAAAATGATACAGAAAAGGACAAGAATTGTTTTTTCTGCACAGCAAAGGACATCCTTAGATCTGTCAGACCAGGGAGGGGGGGAAAAAAATCCATCTTCAGTCTTTATGCTTTGAAAATTTTCTAAATTGTGTGTGCACACCACTCCCAGAAAAACCAAGAGTAGATTAGAAAGCAAAAAGAAAAACATGCAAGAAACAACATCGGGGATCAGCAACAGAGATCAATTACTTTAACCAGACCACAACCAGATCACTGTCAAGAAGTGTGGGTACAGGGAAGACTGATGCTGAGGAAACCATTTATAAGGACAAACAATTTGGCAGCTAAAATTAAATTTTAAAATGAACATGCACAGAAGGATTTTTTGGAGATTTCGAGTGCATACTCCTTCATAGTACACCTTTACGCCTTCATAGGAATAAAAGGTAGAAGGTCTGTTCAGTCAAACCAGACAGAATATCAGATTGCTCTGAAAGTAAAGTTTGATATTCTGTCTGAAGTACAGTCTGAAGTATACAGAAGGATTTTGAATGCAAACTTATAAAGAAATCACAAGAAATGTTCAACCTCCAACCAAAGAATATCTTGTGAAGACTTCACAGAGCGCTTCAATAAATCCAATCAAAGAGCAACTTTGGGATTCATTGCTTCAAAATGAGCTTGGATACTAAATTAAAAGCTCTGCAACCTGGAACAAAGAAGAAACCTGTGTGTGTGTGTAATATATACGTTTGCTTTTTGGGTTTTTTTGGGGTTTTTTTGGGGGGGGGGGACTGTGCATACAGTGCTTTAAATTGGGACTGTATTCTAAAGCCACATACAATAATGTTATATCCTAAATGTCTGTGGTAGAAGTTCGTGTTGGATTATTATACCTCTCTTAAGTTTAAAGATGATTATGATTATGATGATTAACTTTTAGGAGCTGAAGCCACTCAAAAACACTGTACCTCTGATGGCGTAGGCCAGGAAGGCATTAGACACAGCTATCAGTCTGCCGTAATAATATTTGTGCTCCCAGTCGTACTTAGCAACAGGCTGAATCTTCACCTGAAAGAATCACAAAAAAACCCATTGAAAACAGATGAGTAACCTCTGAACAAAGTTAATAAGGAATTAAAAAACTGACAAGGCAAAGAACCTCAAAAGCTGAAGAAAGTCTAAATGATGCTTTAGATGATCTGTGTTTTTATAACTGTACAATTCCATTTTTCAACATATCATTTTCTCCAATTATATGAAAACCATATCATTTGATAAGGATATGACATTTTATGAAATGTTATAAAAAGAGAATAGGAGACTATAGCGCTCATAAAAATTAGTTCAGATATCTTTAGATAAATACTGTAGCTTATCACTTGTAAAAAAGAAAAACAAAACAAAACACCATGTTAAGTCATCACAGATACAGGGTCAGATAAAAAAAACAAAAACAAAAAAAACCAGCCACCGTCAGAAGTACTGACTGTCTCCAAATTTCTAATTTGTTCTCTTCACCAGAGCTGCCAGGTTGTAGCTGATGATTTGGTTTCTTACCTTGTTGCTGCCTCGAGCCTTGCTGTTGATGCTAGAGTCTTGGCTTGCCACAATCTCCACATTGTTAGAAGTAATTGGAATACAGGTAGAGCCATCATCACCAGAAAGGCAGCTGAAATTGCAGCACATTGATTCAGTTAAAAAAATAAAACAAAACAAAACAAACAAAAAAATTAAAAGTCCTTATAAATATGACACCACTAAGCAGGTTAAATGAGAAACTCACATTATCTGACTCTCCTGAGCACTGCTGAGATCTGTGGAGATGGGTCTTGTCGATTCTGACATAGTTGACCGATCAGTGCTCCCCAGAAGGCCTGTTCCCAATAACCCATTCAGCTCTCCATTAAAAGATGGCTTTCTACCACTTTCACTTGAATTTCCATCTGAGAAAGACAATGAAAGTAGGAGATCCAGCAGATGCAAAGAGCTTGTGTTTGTTCTGGGGCTTCCTTACCAGCTTACGTTTGACTCATCTCAGAGTCTGACGCAATCATGTCACTGATGCACAATTGTACAGTGATTTTAGACTTTACAACAAAACAATGAGTCACATGCAGTCTCATAGTGATACACACAATATTCATTACAAAGTGTAGGACAATATTTTTTTTAACCTATATTTTCAATGGCGATCTATTATGCTCATTTCCAGCACATATTTTTCTGAGGACTCTAGGCACTCTAAAATTATGCTTATTTATCTTATACAGAGCCTTGATGCAGACCCTCACTTTATTTGTCTGAAAAAAAGGCTGTTTAAGAAACCTTCCCCTCATTTGAGTCAAGTCAATGTTCTTATGATTGGCAGCTCCTCTCAAACAGAAGCATTAACAGCAGGCAAATGGGGTGCTCACAACAAGACATGTGTGTCTGAGATTACCATATTAAAAATATCCATTCCTACTGACATCATACAAAGCCTAAAGCAGACAAAACTTTCCACATGTAGATTAAACTGAGTCTTAGTAAAGAAAAGTTAAACCAAAATAATTTTTTAATCTAGGACTGGATTTAAAGTATCCCTGGGAAACAGAGCCTAAAGATTTAGACAACAAACAAAGAATTCAGGTCGTAGTATGTTATGTATTTAATACTTCTGATTCTCCACGGTTTATAAGCATTTACTAATGAAAAAGGCAGCAAAGTAAGGAGACGTTAAGGCGTAATATATGCTACTTTTCCATTCTGTTGTTACTTCAAAGTGTGCCGAAACGGTCAACAAGTAGTGTACTGGACTGAGAGTCCAATTTCTACACCTACTCCCAACATAAAATAACGAAATTGATTAGACCAAGTTTAATCAATTTATATATCTACCCCCAACATAAAATACTATGACGTAAAGATAATTAAGACTAACACAGGTGCAAGATACTGAGTTCCTAAAATCAGCATGTCTTCTTCACACTTCATGATAAAGTTGCCATGTAATACATCGCAAGTGAGACAAACAAACACACGTGAATTGGTGTTCCCAAATTAGTAAAGTAAGTCTTCTGCGCAGTTTGGGGGGGCTTGTTCACACCAGTTAAATGCCTCACATTAATTAAGGACAAAGGTATAACCACTTTTATGGCTTCGGAGTAAAAACACCAAGTACAACAGAGTTAATTTCTACTAGACGAAATATTTACCTAAGACACGCTTTTTTACACCAAAAAACAGATACACACATACGCTAAGCTCCTAACCGAGCTAACACTGAGGTTGATAAAATACTTTACGACGCAGTTAGCACTCCAACATTACGACGACCCGATACACTTTCGCGGCTCCGCGGAAATTAGTGTTAAAACAGATTCAGTGACACGCAAACTGTGTTTTCACGCAAAAGCTGCAGTTGACCCTGACTTCGTTTCAACACAACTAAGCGGCACACCACATCACGCTGGCTAAGTTATTTATTTAGCTAGCCAGCTAACTAGCATTCAACTAGCTTCTGCGGCCTAAACCAGCGCAGGCGCTTTCGCTCACGGCCCCCACTTACCGGTGCTGTTCCCGGGGCGGTCGAGCTTGAGGATGTCCCGGAGATGCTGGGTTGCACCCTCGATGTCTATATTAGTATTGGACGCCATGGGTGAGGGAAAGGGGAGCTCGGGTTTGTTCAGGGGGAAAGGATGAAATTTTGTTTCCTGCGATGCTGCTGTCACTGTTCACCCCGAGCAACCGTCTAAACTTCCGTTTCGTCCGCGCAATGGATTCCGACTTGTCATTGTGTCAGGTCAATGGTTCCCACCTCGAACGCTACTGACGTTCATTTTTTCCACGAGAAGACACAAGTCAATAACTTTGTTAGATATTTGAATTGAATTATTATTATTGTCTTTATGAAATTTTTGTATTTATTTTTTGTTAGTTTTATCAACGGCGTCGTACATAATGTCTCCTTTTAGCAGCTGTTTTTGGTTTGGTTTTGTGTTGTGACATCACGCTTTTGATCATATCAGACCAGCAAGCGGCAGCTAATAAAACCTTTATGGTCCCTAAATGTCAAAATGAGCAATACATGTATGCATGACATTGTGAGAATGACTGAAAGAGGGTTTCTCACTGAGGCTCTCTGGTGTTACAGAATCTGGCTCTTTAACTCAGGGTGTACTAAACATCATAATCTCACAATAAGACATTTCCTCAGATGACCGATAATTTCAAATTATATCTATAATTTCGTTGGGCTGGTCTTAAAACCAACCAGGATCGTGCTAAATTTGTTTTTACAATTCCTAGTGTTGTTTTTAAACATCCTTCCAAATTTAACTGAATTTTGCTAGTTTGGTTAATTGGTTATTTCTTGGTAGTAAAAACATACCGTCATTTAGACAGTGCAGACTTTAAATACATGGTTTGAAATGTGAATTTACACTGAAACTACATGGTCCCCTTTTAAAAACAAAGTCATAAAATGATGGACACTGAGCATCTAGCTGATCTTCTATTAATCATCTAAACAAGAAAAAAAAACAACCTAAAGACAAAACTAATATTAACATTTACGAAAAGTTTATAATTAAAGAGGCACCACAGCATGATATGGAAAGACAAGGTCACACCATTAAGAAAAAAAGTCCAGGTTTTATTGTGTATCGTGGCTGTAGTCCATGTTTAACTGCCAGATGTGTGTGAAAGAGAGAGAAGAGAGAGAGAAAATAAGCGGGGTCAGAGCAAAACACAGCAATGTCAACCTTTGTCATCCATGAGCAAATGAATCATGGCAAAGTTAACAGTTGTGTAAAGAAAGATAAAACTCTATTTAACACACTAAGGCGAGCTAATGTAAACACACAAGTGGCATCTAAAAACAAATATGTGAAAAGGAAACTGAAGAAGCCATCTTTGAACCTGAACATGGGACTACAAACCAGTCAACAACAGTGCTAATAGAACTGAGTTGACAGCAGTGGAGTCAACAGTAGAGTAGAATGGGTTAGAGTAGAGTAAAGAGGCGAGCAGAGCGGAGTTAATGGCATCGGTCAGCTGTTTGTCCTTCGGGTGGCTTGAGTATTGTAATGAGGGGGTTCCCAGCATCATGCAGATCAGCAGAGTGGCAGACAGGGGCGTTTGATTGGTCAGCCGGTTCTCAGCAAAGAAACACGTTGCAGTTCTACAGGCTGGGCTGGTCTGAAAACCCGTCTGGATGAGGTTCAGTGATTGACATCTAGAATCTGGTGTTTGCCTGTTTGTCAAAACAGGCGTGAATGAAACAGCCGTGAGGGAGGGATGAGCGCTCTCTCTTCTCCTCCCTCCATATTTCACACAGTGACCTTCACTATGGCTGCCCCTGCCCGCCAAAGTGGAGACGCAGGTTAACCGAAATTGTGAATGGCCAGCCTGAACATGTCATTGGTGCACACCCATGCATCGTTAATGTTCTTCAGGATGAAACTCTGATGGAAACCCATAATGGGGTCTTCATCTGCCTGCAAACACACACACAGATGACAAAGCTGTTATTGATTGAGGCTAGTTCATCAAAGGTACACATTTAGAGTAAAGAACACCTGCTACAATAAAATTATACTGTTATTCATATTGTTTTATTGAACTGGATGCCTCTGTTTCATACTGTCAGACACAGCAGAAATACACCAATGGAACAGTAAAATCAGTACAGTGTATGGTGATCAGTAAATACTCCTACAAATATCACTTTAAGAAACATTTTTGAATAGGTAGAAACAATTTTTCAGAATGTAAACAGAGACTTTGTTCACAGGAAAGCTAGCTTTGCCTTAAAAATTTCAACAGTTCTTTCTAGTGTGGTGTGTACACAGTCATCTAGATACTTGTTACTGACTAATGAGGCCAACAACAGAAATACCAGTCATCAAAATTATTGTGATTTTAATAATCTATAGCCCCAGTTAACATCTGGGTCTAGGATATGTCAGAAGTGTACATCTATTCATCTCTCTCTCCATTTCATATGCATGTCTGTGTCAAAGTAACATGCCATATAATCACTCGCCTGAAGCAATGCAGGTATGCATACCTGCAAAAGAAGCCTGCCGGTCCTAGCACTGCTAACATTAACCACACTTTGCAAACTATCCTAAAAATCTATTTTTGTATTTTTTACCATGAGATATAAAGTGTAAACTGTGGAAAGTTTAAATCTCGAATGGAACCATAAGCCTTCCCCCTTGCTGATCATTGCTTCCTGATCCAAGCAGATTTAAAGAAATGTAAATGCCTTAAATGTATTTAAAGAATAGACAACCTGTTGCTGCCTTTCTAGGCTAGGTTGTTTGTGTGACTGGTATTTTACCAAGTTAAACCAGACTATTGTCATACAGCAACTCCTGAGATAAAGTCAGTGTGTTTTGTTCATTTTTCGCTAGTGGAGTCAAGAGGCCTGTACCTCAAGCAGTTTTCCAGGTAATATCAGGGTTAACCCTGGATTTCTTTGTACAGTGAGGGTTGTAAACTCCTTACCAGTGTATATCACCATACTATGTCCAAACATTCTGAAAAATCAGTTCTCCTAAAAGCAGTGTCACCATGCTGGAAGATTTCACAGACCTCAATGAGTAGATAGGAGAGTTAAGTTTTTTTTATTAATTTTCTTTTTTTAAATGGCATCTAAAGTCCATCTTTTCTTGATAAGCCTCAGTAATGAATTTTAGGTTAGACCCAACTTTATTCTTTGATCTTTTTTGTGACCTGTAAGCAATTTTAAAATTATTTTATTGCTCCATAAGCATTAATATATGATCTACACCTATTTGCATTTGATGACCTTATATCAAATTTACACATAGATTAAGCCTACATTTGAATTCAATTTCTGTTTTTCCTATTTAATTTTTTACTCTCAGACTGTTCCGTTTATAGAATACAAACTTCCTTTTAAAATATTAATTTAATTAAATACTCAATTATGACCCATCAGATTATCCCATGTCTTAATAATAAAGTTGTAATATTGATGGGTTTGGTAACTTGCACAGGCTGTATTTTTGTCATCATTCTTTCATGGCTTCAAATAACAATAACAAAACAACAATAACAAAACAAAAATAATATAGCTGCAGTCTTCCAGTTTTATTGACTAAAGCACTTAAAGGTCATACATTGATTCTTCCTCTTTAACGCTAAACTACTGTACAGTGCTTTTCCTCTCATAGCACTGTTTTGCTGTTACTTTCAGTCTGTAATATGTATTTAACCTCTTCATATTTTTCCCCATATTATAGTCTTATATTCTTTCTTTTTTTTAAAAAATCAGACACTCTGCTGTCAGTACACTTAATCCATAATTGTGTCTGATCAAATGCTGCCAACACCATCCTATTCAAGTAGTTACAGTCTAAATTGGTAAACACTGTGTTAATAGCCCAGCTTTCTGTGATTAGTCATCCTTACTGCCATTGTTAGGGTAAGTGAATCCAG